GGATGGGATATAGACTCGCTTATCGTAACTCCGAACCATGTGGGGATGAACAAAAGATTGTATTTATTTGCCGACTACAGTCCGCGCGCGTTATTCTAGTGCGAGCTTGCATATGAAGTATCTACTACCTATCAATGTTTATTTCTTTAGGTTCGATTATTATTATTATTGTTTACTAAAGTATTGTTTATCAATTATTGATCATTAATTTTATAATGATGTTTAGTAATGATGCTTACTGAAATAAAGGGCTTTTGATTTATATGTGACATACTGACTTTCAAGTGGAAATTAATGTTTGTATAAATGATTACGGCTCAGTATGTGCACTACTCCAAAGAAACTTTACTTACATACTATGTTTTAAGTGAAATATTTTTGGTCACACAAGGGACGCACTGTAAAGTACCGCGCGTCGCGTCGTCTGCGCAAGCAGTCGTCATTTAAAAACAATTCTGCGGGGTTGCCTCTCCAGTGTAACTGTATATGGAGTTGCTACGCCAAACTGGGCGCTAACGAAAAAACCAGGCGCTCAAGTCAAAAGGAAACCCGATTGTGGTAAAAAACGAAGTCATCGCCGCCGTAGCGTAGTAGAATGCCTCCCCTCTCCGCACGTCGCGCATGCGTACTACGTGTTTTTTTCGCCTGCGCGGACGCAGCGTAAACAAACCAATCGCAACTAAGTTTGTTGTGCGGTTTTTACTTCTTAGACGAATGTTTAGAATTAATTAAGTATTTAAAGTCTATCCCTTTTTAGAGACGTTTTCATTACAAATTACCTAATTGTTAAATAAAAAGCAAAATTGTACCGTAGCTTTGCTCCAAGTATTAGAAACCTTACACTACGATGTTTTACTTTATTTTTCTCAGAACGTCGCGACGTCCACATGACGCTTGTGACTGGTAAATATATCAACGTGAGAAGACGGTGCCAATTTGGTTCGAACGAGTTTTGACAAATGACTGAACCCGAGATGGTGTAACACTAACATATTATGATGGTAGAGGCATATTATGTAAGAATTTTTGCCATAGAAAGCTTTGTGATGGAAATAAAAAAATTTTTTTTGGGTGTAAATTGCCTCAGGCATACGTATTTATTCTCTCTGGATTGGCTACTTATTATCGTGAAAAAATTACATGTTCATTTTAGTCCTCTCTTATGAATCATCGAACGAAGTTTTGAGCAAATACTAGTTTTCATAATAAATAGAATTCTTAACAGAATAATTCATTATTTGACAACAGTGACAACTACCATGTTTTTACATATTATTTTATAGTACGATTATTTCAGTAAACATACCAGCTCATTTCATGATTCAATTGAGTCTTAACCCTCAATTATTTGCCCTTTCACTAATAAATTACAAGTGGGTGTTCACTAAATTGATAGGGTTGCGTATTTGCCAACTTTTAAATACGTAATTACTTTTTAAAACATTGATGTTTTCTTTCTGTGGGCGTTAAAGCGTATCGACCTTTATGCACTGAGATATTTTGGAAAACATGTAAATCCTTACGACCCGACAATGATAAATAAAATAATGTATGCAATGTACTTATGGTTGTGAGTAAGCACTGAAAATTACACAAAGTTATAGAGTCAATAAAAAGTCGGATGTCCAATTTTCAAATTTTTTGCAAATACAGGTAGAAACCGAATTATCTTGGGAAATCGGGGCTCATTGAATCCGTGAAAGATTTCAGCATACATGTTAGCACTTCGAGGAAAACCTGTGACTCAGGGAAGCGTATTTTATTGTTGCGATCGTTACGTTTAAATTTACGCACACGACTTACGGCACTCGTGTCATTTGGGAACTACCTATAGTGGGTGAACTATTTTAAAATGTAAAAATTGGAACGCCACTCGGACAGCGATACGCTACTGTAATTACGATGTTCGGAAGAGAAAAATGGTTTAGTAGTTGAGACATCTGCGATTTTGACAATAGTTTTGTATTATTAAATTAATAAGTAATAAAATTACATTAAAACATATTAAATTATTACATTGTCTATTAGGAGTTGTTATAAATATTCTTAGCATTTATTGTGACTTTTGCTATTTATGTGGGTTTAATCAAAGCAACCCCATTGTTGGTTTTTATTACTACACACTTGAATGTCCCGGACTTAAAATCTACTAATCGACTCCCACGTGTGTGTCCTGAATATTAATGAAAGTCATATATCAGGAGAAAAGTATAATAAAATAGTAGGAATAATAACCACCTGAATTTTAATGCCCATCCTTCATTTAAAGCTAAATATAAGTATAATGAAAACCAAGCCGCTCCATGATTGAATGATGTTTTTTATTATGGAATTATTACTGAAGCACTTAAATTTTTACGACGAGTCTCCTGATCGACCACCGACGCATTTAATATGAAGACGTAACCTGAACCTATCGACAGATATCGACGAATGGAATGCAAATGCATTTCAAAATGCTTATATTGATAGGTATCATTTAGGGTCACATTAAAATTTTATACTATCAATTAGGTACAACTAATTTGACACATATGTATAATGTATATTTATGAAAAAGTGGGTGACAAAATAAAATTGCAAAGATTTCGATGAACAACTGAAGCCGTGTTCCGTATTTCCCTATAGGCATTCCATAAATTACCTACTTACTGATTGAACTGGTCATCTCCAAGCATAAGGACTTAATTTACAGTGATTACTATCTAAGCCTTCGTGCTTCCATTAATTTATAATTATAAACGTTAAATGTATAACAAACTACCTCCTGTAAAACTGTGAATTAGCAATAAAGAGAGCCCTCACACCCGATCATCCCAATGAAGATATAAACACATGTTTTTTATGGCGATTGTAACGCAATTTCTCGACGGAACACACACGATGCCACCACGGTAGGTGGAGATTGGTTCGGATCCCCAGTAAAATATAAATTGCTGTCGATATTATATTATGTGGAAGAAAAAGTGAACACCAAGTAGCATTATGAAGATCGTTTGTATTGATGATTCCAGACAATTGGATTTTATCTCAAACTTTAAAGGCTTTCGAGAACTTTATGTTTAAATTGGTTTTTATTATTTAATTAAAAACTCTTTTATATCGACACATTATTTAGGTTCATTTATCAAATTAATATAATTATTTTAAAACATTTCTACAATACCGGTGTGCAAAAACAAAACAATAATCGCAAAGTAATTGATTGTCACGGTTTCAGTGCATTAATATTCTTTCAAAATTAATTAATGATTTTCTAATTAGGTGAATATCATTGAATAAATAAAACAATAAGAAGACATGTAATTTGAAAGTGATATGAATGCTCCCGACCTTACCAATTTACTAATATTAAATACCCGATAAATGAAGGAAATCTGTACATCAACGTTATTTTATCTGAATTTCTTTCGAAGTCTGTTAATAATTGATTATCAACAAAGCTATACCTAAACACTCAAGCTAAGCTGCACCTATTGTGGCTGCACAGTTAAAAATAAAAAGCCGTTTATTTTGAAACTGTCGGCCCGTCTGCGCTGTCTTTAATTACCACTGGATATTTATATCGGGCAAGCACACTAACGCTCCTTATTTTCATTGCTGGGTAAACAATTTGTTTTATAGTTTCTTTTGATTCGGATAACATATCAATCTGGGATTAATTTTTAGCTGTTACTTTGTTGCGAACGTTATTTCAATTAATATAGTTATGTTTATTTTGTTTGTATATACGAAAGTCTTTAGTAAAACATTCATCAGTATTCCAGTGCAATGCTTATCGGGTATGTAGACAATTTCCAGCACATAAAAGGTAAATTATTTATCAAACACGTACCGCCATCTGTGTTTCACCAATGGAACTTGAGAAAGGAAAGCCTTAACTTTGAAATTGTCTTGTTCCGATCTTTTTTTTTGTAAAACACTAATTTTATGTCAGTACTAGTCGTTCAATGAATTGGAGATAACCAATCTCTTTTTTCACCTGTTTCAGGTTAAGTAGTCAGTAGGTGTCGGTCTATACTAAAACGATACCAAGATCTCAAGAGACTCACAGCTTCGCAGAAATCTTTTAATCCGGTTCATCCATATTCTTAATTAGCCATACTCCTTTCAGCTCAGCAATAGTGCTTAAAAGTACTCAAGACGTAACAGGTAATGAATCTTCGACCTTCGGCTCTTCACATTATTGGATAATTGTTTGTCATTCGTTCGTCTCCAACGACACTGTTCTGAGTCACTTGGCTGCCAGCCAGTTCACCTCACCTGTGATGTTCCAATTCAGTTTCCGTTCAGGATGTGGTCCCTAGCTCCCAGACTATTTATATGAGGTGACGATGTATTTGATTAGCCACGGTCTACGCTCGTAGACTGATTTTTAGTAGGTGTTTTGCCGAGGTCTGATGTAATCGGCACTTGAGGTGACATGGTGATCTATGATGAGAGCTTCGAGATATTCCATTACTACACAAAAATACACACGAGGCTTGTTTCGTCTGGATTAATAACAACAATAATGTTATCAACGTGGGCCTTAAACCTAGCAAAATGACCTGTGAAGCAAATCTAAAAGTAGTCTGCATACATATCTGTAAGTAGGCACTTCTGAAATGTGACGCATTTCCTTAAGACGTGCCTATTTACTTTGGAAGCTCTAAGCTACTTTCATCTGACGTAATTGCCACTTTCGTCGGTAGAAATGGCGTAAATACCCATTCATAAATCCAAAACTACTGGTTAAAGACCTGTGACGTTTAGTCGCTTAGCGTGGGTGGCAGGATTGGCATGAATGTCAATGATCCCCCATTCATATCGGTTTATGGCATTTCATTCACTCGTGACGAATGTTACCGTATTGCTGCGTAACGCCTACATTGATTTTAAATGAAAAACTTGAAAAATGTTGAATGGAAATGAATCTACTGTGTAGCGCAAACACTACCGGTTAATAGTGGAAAAGAAGAGGAAAAGTTTTTTTTTATAAATGTGTGCATCGTAACAAAATGAAAAACAAAACTGTAAATCGCGAGAATATTTCACGCAGAAAGGTAAAATCTAGAGATAACAATCGCCAAGAAAATTTTACAAACGGCGTTTTCAACCTTGTACAAATGTTATTCTTTGACAAGCAGATGGGTTGTATATTATCGGAGACTTTAATCATATTGAAGGTACTTGAAGAAGATCATTTTAATGGCTACATCTTGCAGATAGTAACAAATGGGGAGCACGTTTCTAATGTATTCTACGAAATACCGCTAAACATCTCATCAACAAGTAAGTCAACCACTTAGATAAAAGAACGATCAGAGAATACCATTAACTGGGAACTCACAAGTTATGAATGAAATGGTGAGTAGGCTTGAGAATGAATGGGTGACGTCATTGTGATGAGATCTTGGGGTTATATTTTAGTAGGTACTGAATATTTGTCATGTTTACTATTTTTTAATCTTCAAGGTGTGTAGGCTGATCCACTATAACCCAACTTTAGAGGAATGGGAATTATCAATAATAAAATCTGTAGGTATACCCGGTATTATACCATATACCATTGCTGAAAAAGTAGTTCAAAAGTAGAACAGAGTTTTAAATACGACTTTTAGCTTTTTATTTTACATATTAGTAATATTATTATCTGATCACTGACTTTATCAACTAGGCAGAAGCTCAATAACAATGACATTGTCCGCATTCAATCAAGGTCTACCTATAGATATCTTTTTATTACAACCTAGATACAATCTAATTGTAGTATTGTAGGAAGTGATGCAGCTGTTACAAAACTCTACGTAACGCGGCTCTGTGCCAAAATGTGTTAACGTTTGGTCAAAATGTACAAAACCATGACATATCTATAAAGTTTTCATCAACCGCGAGGCGCCTGGAAGTTGAATTCACATAAAAATATGTGTCCAACACAAAATGCGTTTGGAGTTTCGCAATCCTATCTATTCCGACCAGACATTAAGGATGACACATCCTAAAGAAATAGTTAATGATTTACTACGAACGCTTTCGTTTTTTTCGCGTTACACACTGAAGCACAGCCAATTTTTTTTCCGTCGCCCGTGGATGGGATGTTGTCCAAACGAGTCCCGTTTAGATAATACGAGTTTATTTTGGTTCTTACATATGTTACTCGTCACACAAAATAATAAGGCCATTGGCCTAATGACAGCGGCTTATTTTTAGTTCGGGACTTTTGAAGGCGACATGCTTAATGTCAGTAGAGTGGAGATACGGACTTTTCCAATTCCTATATCTGTTTCAATTTTGCACTAGCGTATAATTTTTGCAACTGAATGTAGGATACTGGATCTCGACTATTGGGAATTAGATTAACGACAGACGTGTTAAAAATGAATTAGATTCCACTCAGATTTTCGAGAAAAGTGCTAAACTAGTGGTTACGTTCGTCATTGTCATAATGTTTTAATCGGATGTCTGGTACATTTGTTTTTGTCCTACTAAAACCTCTTCTGGTATTTTTGTAGTGTCTGTAACATCATCTAAGAGTAAAAATGTTTCTCCAGGTAGCCCAGCACGCGTAGAACCAATGCAGTCGGTGCGAACGACACGAGGCAACCGGGTGCGACTGGAGTGCAAGGCAAGCGCACGGCCGCCCCCTCGCATCTCATGGTATAAGGACGGGAAACCCGTCGCCGATATCGCGCTGAGGAGATTCCGGGTGCAGAACTTCAGGTGAGAGAGATTGTCTTTGAACTGAAACCTAATCTTTTTTGTCAATCGCATATACAACATACCAAGCATTATCAACCACATTATCTACATATGTAAAGTCTGCGCCTGCGTTAGTCCTCGCAACTACAATCATAATAATGACCGTTAGTAATAGTTAGTAAACACATATTAAACCTAAAGTATCTATCTATCAAATAGCTACCATAATGACCCAGTTGACTTTAAGCAATGTTGATCTTGATCCAAAATGAGAACATGTTTGTATACTAGAGAAGTACTCACTTCCAGCTAAATAGTAACAATGTTGTTTGCAAACAAATGAGGCATGCACTCATATGGTGCTAACATTAAATGCAACGATTACTCCACTAATCGCAACTGCAGACAGCTGTCATTGACCGACCTGGAAGTGCATCCCCAAATACGTTTGCTGTCCAATCACGCAAGAATCAACCTTAAAGAAAGGTTTTAAAGATTTCGCAACATCTTTAGAGGACAAAGTGGATGTAAGAGTAATTATTATGATTGAGCGCTACGGACAATTTCATGGGCCGTTGAGCATTTTGATGATGATTTAGATATTTTGCACAAGACGACTGTTTCAATTTAAGTCTATACCAGTATTTCACCATATAATGGTTCTTTGTTAGCAATCATATACCTAAGCCCAATTAAAAGTGTGCAGAACCAGCCAAGTTCTTCAAAAATATCAAAATGAGGTCGTGGTGGAAATTGGACATTTTATTCAACCCTCTGCAAAATATTTCAGGAGGCGCTCGGTACTAGTGATAAGGCATGCGCGCAGTGAAGACTCCGCATCGTACGAATGCAGGGCACAGGGCGCTGTAGGCCCACCGGCCATCGCCAGCGCTAACGTCAGCGTTCTACCTCCAGTCACAGCCGCGCCTGATGACGCCAGTAAGCTTTATTTTTCTATTTATTTATCTATATTTTTTTATCTTTGTTTCATGCACATTTAAGAAATGACTTCTGGTGGCAGCAATTCTTATCTATAGTGTCGTTGTTTATTTAGACTTTAGTTTGCTACAAGTATCGACACTCAGTCCAATTGTAAACAACTCACATCAAATCACCAGTCGATTTCAAATGTTTACAGACGTGTAAACATTAACTTCTGCAGTTTTCTTTGTACCAACTGGCTGTAACTTGCTAATATGGTTCAAATGTCAATGGATAACGCATGATTTGAGTAAGTATTCTAAGTCTAAGTAGTCACATTGATCCAACAGTATCGACAGGTAAACAAAGGAAAATATCAAACCATGTCACATTGTTTACCGATGCTCATACCGTTGTACTGGGAACACTAGGGAAACTCGCTGCTTCTTCCGCGAATCTCACTTAAAACAATGTCTGTATACAGGCCAATAGGGTGATCAGTTACATTGTATAATGAGTTTGTTGTATCATCCGTTTTTGTATGTGTTCTGTTCACTGTTGGGTAGGTACTTAATCGGATGATTATTGTAGCATGTTACAGCCAAAGATGAAAGTTTAAATTACGCCAAAGTTTGATTTTATCGTCAAATTCTGTATCCTTGATAACTTGAAATTGTTATTAAATTATTTGTATATAATCAATCATGTTGCTGTAATGATATCATTATTTTTCCAGCGACGCTGGGCTCGCCATGTCCGATGCCCGACCCGTCGTCATACTGCCTCAATGGAGGCACTTGTTTGTTCTTCGAAATCGTTCAAGAACAAGCTTGCAAGTAAGTACTTACATACATACCTATATTTTATTAGATTAAATCAGAGAGGACAGCTGTAAAATAATAAACACTACTTCGTAACAATTATCTGACGTTATTTTCTGTTTGACTTCAGATGTCCGGAAGGCTTCAACGGGCAGCGTTGCGAGAACAAGGATATATCGAATAGAAGCAGTATGTCCCATTCCTACACATGTAAACTGGGCCTCTCGATCACGTACTACTGTTAGCCAGCGAAGCGCAGGCGCATAACCCACCTCGTTCCAATTTTAAATTTAAAATTTTTAGCTCGCGACTTTCCGACGCACTCGGCTGGACTGAGAAAACTTTTACGTTTTACGAGACAGATATCTGCATCTATTTGTAGATTTACATAATATTTCTTAAAATTATCAATGTTATATACGTTTTTATATGTTTTATAATTTATACTAATGGCATCGCACTTATATATTTGGTATGCTACAATTTGTTTTATGACTACAGTTTTATAGTTTTCACAGCCCTAAAGCCCAGTGATTCCATCGCGAACGTTTGTAGGAAAAAATACGAGAATAATGATTGCAAATACGAACTGTCATAAATATTGCGACAGTGTATGCTGAATACTTAGGATTTAGTAGGCAGCCGTGCGTGGCATTTGTAAATAATAATTTAAACAATCTGTTTTTATGAACCTCGAGTCTGAAAATTGATTTGAAATACTAACTTATTCATTTATATTTGTTAATACCTATATCTATCACTCTTATGTACTTTATTTGAAATCAGTATCATTATAACTGCACGGAGCTTTAAATTATCTACTAGTATACACTACAGCCCGATGAGATTTTACACTTTTAAATACATATTTCCATTTAAGGGTATGTACCTACCGACAATTATTTATATTAATTACTTGTATTATTCATAATTGAACTGATTTTTCGTAACATTTCACAAGTTTCGTCTATTTTTCTTTCGTGATAGCAGAAAGTCTATGGTAAGACTTGAAGATTGTATGTATGTACTATTGCATAAAGTGCTACTTAACGTTTACTAGGAGCGATGACTTTTGCAATCCATTATTTCTTCTGTTATTGAAGATGTAAATATTTTAAACATTATTTGTAATATTTGCAATTTATTATTGTTATTATTAACTGTAAGGTTTGATAACTAGTAGTATGTAATATTATGATAAAGAGACTTGCAACTTTTGTACATATCTATTAGGGTAAGGGTTTTTTACAAAAATACAATCCTGGTTAATAGCATTGCGTACTTGTTATGCGTTCGACTCTCTAATTTATGCGTAGGCACTCATTTATTAATAGCTTAATATTCAATAACAAAGGTAAATAATAAAAATGAACAATTTTACAGCTATTACTCACTTACTTTAGGTACTTTAACATTTGAAGCAAGTTTTCATACAATAGTTCTGTAGAAGGACTATATGGCATAACAAGTACGGTCAAAATCGTAGTCAAAAAGGCAATTTCCATATTTTCACCGGTCCGTTACATCACCTAGTCAGATACCAGTTTTAACTATAGCTAGGTAGTAATAAATAAATTAATTTATATATAATTTTACGAGTGTGTCTAATTGGACGTATGGTTGTGGATATAGCGATAACATTTTTTTTATTTCTCTGTTTTTTTTCTAACTCGCTATATGGGACCGAAACTTGCACAATAGTTTTCCATTTTTAATTGTTTTCGTTTTTCTTTTCATTTTGTATAAAGTTCTTAATGATCTAAGTTCACTATTTATATTATGTAATTAAAGTAGAAAACCGACTATTTATTTTTAATAAAATTTTGAGGATTTTTAGGGCATTTATACGTCTGAAATGATATGGCGTCGTTCGAGAAAATTCTGAACTCGTCGGTATATTTTAATTTCCACATTCACTTTGGTAACGCCGAGTACTTAATGCTTTTCATTTCATTAATGGTCTTAGATACTAGAAAATACGTCAGTATTTCCTTTGAATGACGTCATTACATTTTAACATGAGTTTTTTGTATTCTCACAACAAATATTAAGGCGCGAACAACATGTAATGTAATGGATATACCAAAACCACAATAAAAGAATGAGTGTTGGAATTAACAGAAAGGCGACAATGTTCTGTTTTTTTATTTTTTATTTGCAATCACCTAAATCCTTTAAACCGCGACGGAATGAACATGGGAATTAGAAAATCTGAAATGGTATGTATATTCGAAATTTATTTTATGTCGTGCACTCGTATAACAATCCGCACTCATTTTCTATGAATGGAAAAATGTAACGAATATTTTGGACCGTATCTTCTCGGGTTGTTACATTTTTTCATTTAAATATCCTCACGGCCTACTAATGCTTTTTATGTACGTGGGTACTAATCTACAGGGGTACAGCATGCAGAATGCATGTTTCTTCAAACTTACTATTTGTTGTGAGATAACAATAACTTGTAGGTATAACACTGCATGCGAAAAAAGTTATTATTAACATTATCAATAACGCTCTTTTTTCTGCACGCAGGTAAAGGCGAACCACTGTGGTGATGAACGTAACGAAATGGTGCGACTGAAATTATAAAATGGTTATTTTGGCATTTTTATATAAAATATTAATAAGGGAAAAAAAGCATTCCTGCATATAAATGTCATCGGATACCTAGGTGATATTTTGCTAATTGTTTATATAATAATATTGCCGATGGACAATAACTAAAGACACGATATCCCACTGCCTATTTATTTTAATAAGATATACCTACTGGTAAGATAAATCAAGTAAAATCGTTGTATCAGTTGCAACTGGCATGAAAAAGACTATGTTAGTGAAGTATTTCATGATCTGCTTGTATTTTTTATTAAATATAAAAGATAGATTTGGATAACTTCATGCAACAAAATTGGCAAGTCTGTGCTTAACGTCAGCATAGGTACAGGCATGTGCCTATGTAATATTATGTATTGTGCTTTAGTTAAGCTTACTTTTGTACTACGTTTGGTACGATATCTAGTTTTAAGAATATCGTGGTGCTTGAAAATGTGAATTTAAATAAATTGATTCCAATATATGTTCCTAAATTTTGAACGGTAGTAATGCTTAGTTTTATAAGGTTTTTTCTTTATTCGAAAACGAGCTAGGGAAACTGATATGATTACTGATTTTGCTGATATGCAAGACGACTCAACAGCAAAATCACATAGCAACCCAGAGTCCGGTAAAATTACCGAGTAACTTGCGGCAATGACAATAAAACTAAAGACTGTAGGCACAAAAGCTCAATAAAAATAGATCTTATGATTTTCTGAACACATATAGGTAATCTGATAGGGTATGCTTTATAATAAATAAATTTTAACTGGAGAACATGGCATTTCTCTCTTCTAAATGGTCAATCATATTTTTTCTACAAAAGCATAATTTTTGCCCACTGTGCAAAATGAGTTTTTTTAACTAGGATTTATTTAATTTTATTTGCCTTCTCATAGATAGATTCGCCAGCATTGAACAATATTTTTCTGTTACATTTAAGAGGGATGATGTCATGGAAGCGACGACAATATTTATTTTATGAAAGATTTTTCATTTTTAAGGAGATACAGGGGTCGTTTGTGACGATTGGCGACAAAGAATAGAAAAGTTGCAAAAGTATTACTTCCTTCAACACTTATTAGAACTTAGTTAGTATAGACCTACCTAAATTCCGTCTATTACCTATTGAACTCTGTGACAACCAACCCTGGTCTCATCTTCTTCGAATTCAATAGGTAGGTGTCTCTATCTTTTTAAATTTGTATTTAGACATTTGAGTTGTGACTACATTAATGAATAAGGCGATTTTTATAAAAATGTTAAGTTGTATTAACAGTCATGTACAGTATTATTTGCTGATTAGGTGTTATTTATTGTAGCTTGTAACTGCTAATTATAAGTGCTTTGTTATATACAATAAACGAAATGTGAATATTGTTGTTTGTTTTTATAGTTATTGGGATTTGTTTTTTTATTATTAATCTATGTCTATGTATAGGCTATTTGGACAAGAACAAGTTGAAATCACTCGATTCATAGGACAGGATTGATAACAAGATTGGTGAATAAAAATGTGTGACACAGTAAGTCATTCACATGGCGACCGTTTCATGTCTACTAGCATCTATCATGGGCTCTCATGTTGCTGACAAATCCATATACATATGTTTATAAATATTCTTCCACAGAATGGACACATGAGAACACCATTAACATAGTAATTATCACGAACCTAAAGCAGGTTTTGCAAGCTTAGCCTTCCCCATCTCAATTCTCTATACTAAGTTATTTACTCTGGTGCCCACAGTACCCTACAAGGTATTTAAAATGAAGCAAAACAAAAACTATTTACGTTAATCTAATTTTATATTAAAAACCACTTACTAAGTACAAAAAGACATCTACAACAGAACAAGGAATGTACAAAAGCTAAAAACTTAAAATACTTATTACTTAAAACTTAAGCTTTTTGCGAATAGATGTTTTATAATGAGCTACAAAAATCATACAGTATATAAATTGATCAATATTGAACCTACTAGAATTAGGCAAGCAGAAAATAGATGATAAGGTACCGCCAGAAAGCATAATGAATGTTCACTCAATTTTTGTTCAGTAATAATGTCACTATTACTAGTGATATGATAGCATGATACTGGTATGATATATTGATATCTTAGCTGTTTCTGACTTCATAAATTACTACAAAACTCAATTAACTAAAATCGCGAGTTACTCACGTGAACATACTGAGAAAAGCTCTACTAGTTTCGAACCACAGAGGGGTTCTTCCTCATGAGCAGCGTGCGCGGTCGCGGCGACGTCGCTCAGCTCATGTGAGTAACCCGCAATTTTAGTTAATTTAGTATGTCTCAAGATAGTTATTATAAAAATATACTACAAAACTCATTATAAAAAGCCATTCAAGCATGTAATGATAAATCAAACACATACATAACATAACATCACGCCTTTTATCCTCGAAGGGGTAGGCAGAGGTGCACATTATACTGTACAATGTAACACCCACTTTTCACTGTTTATGTTTTGAGTCCCATGTAATAGGGGGTGAGCCTATTGTCATATACCGGGCCCAATTCCAGACTCATACACATACATAGTATGTATAAATTGTAAGAATGTATAATAAAAAAAAAATAAACAGTTTTTTGAAGTGCTGAACTCAAACTAAATAAAAAATTTACAATATCTTTGAATTTAAGAGCTGCACATAATAGCATAATAAGGGTAAGACATTAATATGTTACCAGTTTAGATACATAATTTTGTATGAGAATTAGCTGTGTGAAGCCAATTTTGACCCGAGAGTCATACACATGATAGATAAAATGATTAGAAAAACAAATTGATGTAAAAAGACACCATAAAAAGTGTATTAAAAACAGCTTTGGTTAACATAACATTCAAATAGTTAATACTGTTACCAGAATAATAGAATCATGCAGCATTGTATTCTTCTATAAATGAAATCGATTTATATGGTACCTACTAATGACTCAAAATTATGCTAATCTACAAGTTTATAACTAACAACAGTTTCCATTTTATGTAGACTAGTGGAGAAGGTTTTAAGTTGAACATTTTGTGCGTTGAGTATTTCCACAGGTTTCGCTTCCGCCCACTTATCGGGAATATCGCAATCCGTCTTAGCATGAACTAATACATCGAATGAACACCTACAGTCTAAGAATGGTAAGTAAGATATTGTAGCCGCTACCTGCAACATTACATCACGGATCTCCTGCTGTATTTTCTTCAAGTCTTTGCTTCCTACGGTTTCATTCTTTTCTTTAGATAACGCTGCATCTCCCTCTTCATATTGCACATTGAAGTCCCAACATTCAAGGACTTCCTTATTTGCTACGTTGATGATGATAAGCGATAACTTGCTAACTTTCTTATTCAATATCCATTCTGAAAATTTAAAGACAGAGTGTTAAAGATAATGTGTGAATGAGACTGTAAAAAACACCTTTTTTTAAAGTAATAATAGACTTTCTTGCTCAATATTCTGCATTCGAAACTACACTTTGGTACCTAGTAATTAACATTCAATTTTTGATGTTTCAAAAGTGTCTAATTAAGGATTCATATTGAAATAAATGCTTTGACTTTGAAGAATTGGTTAACTAGCTAATAGGGTAAATAAAACACGTTTGTATAAGTAATTAATTTAACTCGTCGAGTACCGGTTTTATAGACACAATTAAAGAACAATAGGTCGCGGTCACCGGTGACCACTTGGTGTTTGACAGTTTAACTAGTGCAGCCAATGATATTATACACTTTTTTATTAATATAATATCATTGAGTGCAGCTCATACCTAAATATTGTTATTCAATTAGTCAGAGACGTATACTACCTACCTATACATAAAAAAACTATGTACGATTCCTAATTTAAATTGGTAGCAAAGATGTGTAACACTTACCTTCACTTTGAGTCAATAAATTAGTTAAAAAGCTTTTGATTTGTGCGTCTTCTGATATTAACAGCGTGATGCCGTACTGTTGCTCTGCCTTAAAAGTTTCTGGTGGATATAAACCTCTTTGGAACAGCACCGAATTGATAGCGAATTCTGTAAAGTTTTAGAAGTTATGTACCTTCTCAAAGGTATGAACACCAACTAATAAGTCATTAACTAACAAAATATATGCAGCATTTATTCGTTTTAATCATTAATTTAATTAGTACTTACTGAGATATTCACAAATAATTTGAGCCGATCCTCGCAGAGTTATACAGTTCTTAGTTTGTTGTTGAGACATCTTTGAATAAATATTTGGACAAAGAAATTGATAACAAAACTAAAGCTTGTTATTATCTTGTTAGAAAAGTTAACAAGTTTAGTTATTCTAATCAAAATCTCTTAAAACAAAACTTTTCAAATAAACAAAAGCCGATCACAAAAACGAACGTTGTCGTTGTTGACTGTTGAATTTTGAAATCTCGATTGATATTTCTGAACGAATTAAAAAAAATGTCATTTGATCTTAATGCAGTATAAAATTTATTATTTCATAGCTGATCAAACAAAGCAAATTAATATAAATAATAGTTTAACAAAATAATATTGTTAAATATTATTTATTAAAGGAAAAGAAATTATACTTGTTTATTGTTATTCCTAAACGTTACTGTTACTGTCTGACATCACGTTTAGTTTTCTTCAAAGCAGTTTGTTATGTGAAATGTTAAAAAAATATATTTTGGTCAAAATAAAAGAGAGCTTGTGGATATAAATACTCTTCATTGTCGCTGTCGTCATTACTTACCAATAACACTATTAAAAGAGTGGTTATGGATCGACCGCTCGAGGTCTTCACATTGCTCAAAATTGTTATTTGTTGCCACTCCTCGGTTGTTATTCACTACATTGTAGCCTTTTTTGTGTGTCGCGGAGAACCTAACGTGTAACCGGGGCTAATGCTCGACGTGCAGGAGAAGGAACGGGGTACCTAGTTTTTAGTCAGTAAGAGTCTGACACTCCTTCTCGCCTTACCCAGGCGGGAGCAGTCATTCGATGATTTTCCCCCCTTAAAAAAAAGCCTTTTTTGAGTATTGAGGAAACGTCCAATGAGTGCATTTTGCAATAGCACAGATCTGCCTCACTACCTGCAACACGATTTTGTTTGTGCTTTCAATTTTTCTTAGTATTACAAAGATTTGAATTCCCTCCACAAAAGCGTTCTATTGACATATAGTTGTATAGTCATGAGTATTGATCATAGGAAGTAAGAATATGACTGTGGAATTAAAAAAAATATAATAATATTGAGATAAGATATGCTTCTGTTTAGCACCTGTCCTCCTCCTCCTTAGTACATGTGATGTGGAATGGAACTCCTTGCCGGAATCTGTGTTTCCCGACAAAAGTAGCTTGAGTATCTTCATGTCCCAGGTGAAAAGGTGGCTCATAGGTAGGCGTGCTCCTTTGTTGCCCACATCATCGCTTAACACCAACCAAGCGAGAAGATGGCCAAACATCGACCTATCAAGGATAAAAAATATGTTTTTTTATACTGTAGGCAATATTACACAAAACCGTCAAGTTCATCGAGTTGAACTGAACTGTCATCAGTCATCAGTGTCTGTCTGTCAACATTTATTTTGACATTTCGACGTAAACGAAAACGATCCCAAAAAATCGAAGCGACCACACCACTGATCACAACAACCCGGAGTATTTTTCATGACAACAAACACAATTATATTCACGTTATAATCAGTGAAAAATATTTGTAATGTAATACATGGACATACCAAAGGAGCTCGTGCTTCTTAGTCATTTCATGGCATAGTCTATCATCAAAATGAGTGCCGCACGTTGAAGTAAACAATGGGACGAACTCGTCGCAAAAGGAAAATCAAAAAAGATCGCGACTTTTGTGCTTGTGATAATCAAGAAGAAATAGTTCTTCTGAACTCCTGGCTCTCTAAACATGGCATGCGACGCAACGATAAGTTGTCCCTGGCAGTGTTCAACGACACAGGCCGAGGAGTTCTCACGAAGAGGAAAATACAGAGCGGAGAGGAACTTATGAATTTACCCCTAAACTTAACTATCAATGTCACAACGATTTTGATGGACAATTTATTTTGTAAAATATTTTTCGAAAATTCCAAACGATGTTTAGTAGACTATAAGCAATCTATTTCCTTTCAATCTTTGATGGCATTTTACCTTGTATTTTTAAAACTACGAAGTGGCAAAACAAAGTGGCATATTTACTTAGAAAGTTTGCCAAAAGAATACTCTGTACCTTACTTTCTGCCAAATGATGTGAAACTAAATATTGATAATGACATTCTATCTGTGATCTCAAAGCAAAAAGATATCATTGATTCCTCCTTTAATATTTTTGAAAATATTTTATTAAGTAATGTAAGTGATGATAGTGCAATACAAGAATTTAAGAGCTCTTTTTCCTTGGCAGCGTACGAGTGGGCCTACTTTACAGTGAATACTAGATGTGTGTTTATGGACTTGAGTAAAGTGGTTGATTTGAAAAATATAGAACATTCAATTATAAACCTTATATGTGATAATACAAAGATATCATTATGTCCGTACCTAGATATGATTAATCACAGTCCAAATGCGAGAAATGAGACCAAGTTATTGGTTAGCAAGAATATAACAAATGTTAATGTGAATAATTTAAGTGAACAATTATTTTGTGATGTACATTTTTCTATATACACGAAGAATGATTTTGACCCTTATACACAAGTATTCATATGTTATGGAGACAGTCATAATTTAAAATTGATTACAGAATATGGCTTCTTCCTACCTGATAATGACTTGGATTATGTGTCATTTACATTTGAAGAAGTGATTGCATTTTTGAAAACGAAATCAATAAAGTTGTCTCAGGATCAGATTTCTTTTATAAACAACCATGGTTTGCGTAAGGACCTGTACATTGACTGTAAGGGCCTGAGTTACAATTTCTATGGTTTATTACTAGTTGTCAAGTACTACTATGACCAGAGTACAGATGTCAGCAGGTTGATATACTCTGCGGCTATCTGTTCTCATGATAATAATCTCAATGACATTATTGCACCGATGGTTAGAACTAAGTTGAACAGTATCAAGGAGTCATTAGACAAAGTAAGCAATATTAATAAATGTGTTATTTTAAATAATTGTGTAGAATTAATGTGTCAGTATGTTAGGATACTTGAGAAATTTATTAAATGTTAGATTGTGTTGTATGTTGGATTTTTCATTGAAATTTTGAAATTTTTAAAATTTTATTTTAATCCTATTATAATTTGTATCGTTATAAAAATGCAATGTTGAGTGAGCTTTATTTGCTTGAATTTTTTGCAGAAAATATAGAAGTTTCATCTTTGACTAGTGTACAGCGCCATCTAGTAACAACTTCTAAAACTACGAGGTCACACGAAATACGTAGTTCTTTGTTAAAGAACAGATGGCAGTACAACGTAAGTTTTACTTAATACCTAATAGATAGAGGTAGTAGTCTCAAAAGTCATTATGTTGACCGTAAACTTATAATATTTGAGTTATACTTTTCATTTGCTTAAAAAATTGCTGACTCCTCAACACAAATTTATCAGTCAGTACCATCGATAAATTTGAGAAACAAATCTTATAATTATTCACCAAAACTTGCGGCCGCACTTTTGATAGAACAACGGTAACAAAACTATATGAACTTAGTCAAATCATTAAGACACGGATGATTTATTTATTTTATTCAATAACTTTTAAAACGTACAGTTTTCATCTTAGTACATCATCACCACAACGTGTTTTTACCTACACATTCTACTTAGTAAGAATTTATTCTTACACCTAACAATTTGAGATAATCTATGCTTACATTAAAATTAAAACAAACTTGTTTACCTATCCCCCAAAACAACAAAAGATCATAATCGTTTACAGGCGAACAAAAACAAGCGCTACAAATAATGTGAACAACAACAGTTTCTACGCCAATAAGTTGTCAAACAAAACACATAGGTTTGTTACGAATATTCACAGTTTGAGAATTTCATTCTGAGATTTTTACAGCGAGGGGGAACGATGCGGGTACGAGACGATATTAATATTTTGCATTTTTTTAATTCCACTAATGATTATTTGAAGGCAAGTTGAATATTATAGTGAATCGAATGTCTCTTACCTTATTTGCATTTTGCACCTATGTGACTACCAATAGTCCTCTGTGCATTTCCCTGCGAATGACTAGTACATTGTGCCCATGCAATTAAGTCCATGGTACTTGTAATGCAATTTATGTGCGTAAAGTTTTAATAAATAAACGTCTCTCGTTGTTCTGTAAAAGAGTTATCCGATTTTAATAATATAGGAACTTATCTATGTCACGCTGAAGTAAAATCAGACTAAAACAAAAGGAACTTGGTATAAAAGTCGTAGTGTATAAATATGGTAAAAATTTTAGTCTCTGTTCAATTCAAAGCTGTGAATAGTGTTGCGCACCGTGTCGATGGTTTCATCGCCCAAGTTACGATCTTTGTGTAGTTTTAAAATGGGTAGTAGTATTTTAAACAAATGCGCAAAGCTTTACCTAATACAGAGAGTAAGTACAGCTTTCTATTCATTTTATTATTTGTTTGAATAGATTGAATCAAAGCTATCAATATCAATTAAGAATCACGATGAACCCTCACACTAGAATTGACACGAATCCTGTAAAAACCTCAGAAAAAGTTAAAGAAACTATTCACAATGAACATAGGCTCTTTATTGGGTTAAAAAAGAATGTTTTATACCCATATTTTTCTCAGGGATAACTTAGAGACCTGTTATTAATTGACTTTGTTTTTATAATAACTATCGTGAGACATACTAAATTAAGTAAAATCGCGGGTTACTGACGTGAATATACTGAGAGTGAGTAACCCGCGATTTTACTTAATTAATTTACTTCTTCAATTTTTAATTATAAAAACCTTTATCATTAGCCGAATATGAATGATTCGTTCTATGTCAAATTGTAAAATCAGTTTTTTTTTAATAGGGAAAATCATCGAATGACTGCTCCCGCCTGGGTGAGGCGGAAGGGAGTGTCAGACTCTTACTGACTAAAAACCACCCCGTTCCTTCTCCTGCACGTCGAGCCGGAGCCCCGGTTACCCGTTAGGTTCTCCGCGACAAATCTCTGATGTCATTTTTACATAAAAAATGCAGTTCCATCGACAAGCGTCACGAATCTCTCTGGATGTTGTTGGCGAGGATCGGTTTACGACGGTCCCAATCAAGAGGCGACGCTGCGACTAACTACCACTCTCTTGGGAACCTTATGACGCTCGGTTCTACCAAATACCTAACGTTAAATCTGGCGGTTTAATTCTTAATCCATGCGGTTTCGGATGAACCTAATAACGCATTTATAATTGCACAAGTTATTATTTCCAAATGATTAATTTGTGGTTTAATCTGGTCATATTACTACTTACGAAGCTTTACCTAATTCTTGTTTCTGTGGTAGCTACATATTTATTGTTAGTCCGTGTATAGAAATATGCTAATTCATTAGAGTAACTGGTTAATTGAAATCAAAATCATACGAGACTTAAACCACAAATTCAAATCATAAACCAAAAACTCTCAGATTTAATACGGGATTAAAATATAACTTAAACTTTAACAAACTCCCCATGGTGCCAACGTCCCTCACATTCCGTCAACCAATATTGGTTAATAAAACAATGATCATCAAAACTTGGCGCCGATTCCAACACCATAATGTAAACTGTTCCACCAAAATGCACACAGTCCCTTCTAAAACACAGTGTCGCCCTCTACTTGTAAAATTGGCACTGACAAATTACACAGAGTGACACAGTGCTGTATTCTGGAAAACTGTGTAGAGGATAAATAATAAGGAACGGAATGTCTATATAGTAGTTGTAAAGTTAATTTTTGTTATCTGTTTATTGTTGAGACTTATTGTATCGTTTTGTTTAACTAGTTTTTGTTGGGGGACGAAAATATTATGTTTTAGTGTTTTCTGTCGAAAAACATGACTGTCTTCTTTTATAAAGGCTATAAACATTTTATCTTGATTCGGTTGGAACTGTTTCAGTTTATTAGTGTACTTCTCAATTATTTTTCTGCTATTTTTTTCTTCTTCACCAGGTATTTAATTAGTATCTTAGTCCTAGATAAATCAAACTAGGCAGAATCTACAAACAAGGAAGAGCCTATGTAGCTTCAAAAAATAGTCAACTTACGTATTCCATGTCTAACATTAATAAAGAAAAATATGATATAAGGCTTATTTGCGGTCGTATTCTGCAATAATTCATCGATTGTTTTCGTCGCATATTCAATAAGGCATAACGTAAGCTTTGCTTGCAGAATAGCCCGGCCATAATTTATAATCATAATAAGTAATACATTATTGCTTTTGTCCTTAGTAAAAATGAGATAGGAAGGCTATAAAACACGCGACCTTCTAACTCGGTATAAAGAATACGCTCTTTCATGAGCTTATTGTAATAAAAAGTCTATTAGGTCTATACGTAGTTAACCGACCTAATACTACTATTTTCGGAACAAACAGGCTCGATCGATAATTTTCTCTTTTTATTTCTTTTTTGCTTTGCTACTCTATCTCTTTTAGACGTTGCTTCTAATTTTGAATTTAACTCGTTAGAAGAGGTTTATTTCAAACGACGCAATTTTTTGAATTATTATTTTTTGCAAATCACGATCTGATTATTCGGCACATAATCATAATTCAACGAAAGCTGTTTACAAATAAAAAGAGCTACTCCTTATCATAACACCATCAATCATAATCGGACTTTTCTTATTACTCCGTCGAGTTTTTCCTCCATTAAAGAAAAACTGTGACTCCATAGATTTTATCTGTCAATGGCGAAAACACTGTATCTACTGATTGACCATATAAAAAACCGGATGATTTATCATTTTTATTGCGACAAAAACATGTTTATGAGCATCTTAAGAGGGGTAGGGGGTGATAAGGGGCTTATTCTGGGTTGATCGAATTCATTTGAAGTTTTTTTTTATATTTGGACTGTTTGTTTCAGATGTCTAAATGTGACATTTTTTTATTGATTTAACTAGTTCTTAATTTGTAACCTATGATTGGGGTTTACGAGATTAGGGATTATTTAAAACGTTTATAACTTCGTTGTGTTTGCTTTGTCAATCAATCTGTTCATATTAATAAATTCTTCAGTGGTCAGCTTAGAAAACTGAATATTTACGCAAACTCTTGCTTTTTTAATAAACCGAAGACGTTGGCTTAAAAATCCAAATTTTCCTTCCATTATCACACAATTATCTTATTTAAACATCGATTATTTTTAAACCAACAACAACGCTCAGTTAATCTCAAAATTTTCTCTTTCTTAAAAACAAAGCTATAAGTATTGGTGTTCCTAAGGGCTCCCAGAATCCACCCTCACGCACCGAAACAAAATAATCATTGGCCAGTTATAACATCCCTGCGGGATTGTTCTCTCACTATAAACGCGATATTGCCTCGCTGGGGTGACAAACTTTGATCGCTTTTTGCTTATTATTTTTTCCCTTCACTATTTATGTTTCCTTGGTCTTTGTTTTAGATTATGTTAATGTTCTATTTTGCTAGATGATCATTTTTAGCTGTAAATGTTTGTGCTAGTGATTTTTCTTTTGCTTCTACTTTAAAGTATATCTCACTCTCACTGCAGAATGAATGAAACCCTAACCAATTTCATGACTATAACACCTGGAGTCTGATTATGACTTGAAATGTTGATTATATTTTAAGAATTCTACAGGTTAGAGTACCTGAAATTCTATTTCATAATAATTTATTAACTTTTACTACTATCGAACTTCGATATTCGAATTTGAAAGAGTAGATATTAAATTTTAAGGCCCCTCCAAATCAACCCAAAATGGTTTCAATTAACCAACAAGCTAGATAACTAAGAAATTTTGTCAGTCTTTAAAATCAGCGGTTATAGGCAGCTCTTCAGTTTACTTATGGTTTATTTTTATTAATTGTAAATGAAACACTTAGGATATTGATGACTCTTTGATTTGCAAATTTTTTTTAATCATTAAAAGTTCTGTTAATATTTATATTCTGTCGACTAAAATTCTTGAATCAGACATGAGAGTTCAGTACTTCGTCCATGTTTGAAGTCACATTAGGGTACGTTTCTCTTTTTAAATCACATTTCCAT